CTTCCTTCCGAGGAGTGGCTGGTGGGTTTGAACCACCAGCCTTCTGGTGAGCAGTCAAGTGCCTTAGGCACTATGCTACCAGAGCTCCTATATTTTGACATACATATTTGTAAATGCTGCACATAAACTCATACATGAGGGGGCACAATTATAGAAAATACTTACACATCAGGACTGAACTACTGGATGTGAAGGCCAAGGATCACAGTCTCAGGGGACATCTAGGTCAACTGGCAAAACACAATTCATAAAGATAATATTCTACATCCTAGTCTGGCGAGTAGTGTCTTGGATCTTAAAAGCTTGTGAGCAACCATGTAAGAAGCAACTATTGATCTCTTTCCACCTGGAGCAAAGGAGAACAAAGACAAAGACCCAAGGAAGCAATTAGTCCAAAGGATTAATGGCCCACATGAGCCACAGCCTCCTCTAACTAGCGACCAGAACTAGATGGTGCCTGGCTACCATTACTGACCACTCTGATCAACAAAGATCACAATCTGATCACAATAGATGGTCCGGTTGTTGTTATTTGTTGTTATGTGCCATCGAGTCGGACCTGACTCGTAGCGACCCCTCCTTAGGTTTCCGAGGTGGTATCACTACGGAAGTAGATTGCCCAACCTTCCTTCCGAGAAGTGGCTGGTGGGTTTGATCCGCCAGCCTTCTGGTTAGCAGTTAAATGCCTTAGGCACTATGCCACCAGAGCTCCCTGGTTAGAATAAGTAAAAAAATGTAAAACAAAATTCAAATTCAAAAACAATAAAAAAGACCAGACTTACTCATCTAAGACTAGAGGAGCCCCCGACTATTGCCCTGAGACAATATTCTAATTTGAAAGTAAAGACACTCTCGGAAGCCACCTTTCAGCCAAGCAACAGATGGGACTATTAAGTGTTAATAGTGTATAAAACAAACAATAACACCCAGGAAGAATGTGATCCTTAGAACAATCAACTGTACAATGCCAGAAGGGCAACATTTGCCTAAAACCAAAGATAAGAAAAAAGGGAGAGAGAGAGAAACCAGATGAATGGAAATGGGAAACCCAGGGAGGAAAGAAGAGTGCTGACACTGTGTGACCTACGACCAGTATCATGGTACAATTTGTGTATGAACAATCTGTAAAACTAATTTGGAAAAACTGGAAAACTGATTTGCTCTGTATACTTTTACCTGAAGCACAATCAAATGTTAAAAGAAAAGAAATGCATGAGGCAGCTTCTGTAGGAATTTCTAAGGCAATTCAAGAACACAAAGTCATGCAATTATCTTTTGCATCTAGCACAGAAAAATATGTCACTCATATGGTTTATAAATAATTGGCATTCTAGCCTAACTAACAAACTTCAGTAATAGTATCTCTTGTTAAGACAGGGACTCCCTTTTGATCCAGAAAACACTCTAGCCCCTTTTTAAAAGCAGATATTAGTGTCTGCTGTGACAATTAGAGGGGGGGAGAATAAAAATGAGCCTGAAAACTCATAATTCAAGTTCACTCTGTGTGAGCTCCTTGATTCTGTTCATGCAATGATCAACGGCGTTAATGAGTAAAGGAATCCAACTATCTTCTGGCTGAGGAGTCACATGACTTGCTCTGTGAATGCAATGGGGAAAAGAGAAGTTAAATGTATTATAGTATTGAGGAAAACCATAGCCCCAAAAGGGACCACAAAGGAAACTATTATAAGAAAAGGCAAGGTTTTTTTTTTTTTTGGCAGAAACTCAGCTACTCCACAACTGAAGTTGAAAGAAAATCTCATACCCACCCCACCTTCTGTGAAACAAGGGTACAGGAGTTAAAAAAGGCTGAAAGCAAATCTAGAATTATTTCAAAGAGTTATCTGGGGTGAAGTCTTCATACTCACTTCGTAATTTCAAGTGCCTTCTTTAAAACAGATACAAGTTTTGCAGACTAGAAAAGAAACAGAAGGTAATCATTCTGAGCCCCACCATAAAAAGGAAAAGAAAGCTAAAATATTAAAATGACCCAAGTAATAAAAATCATAAAAAGAGAATCTTGAAGGGAATATACAAAAGCAAGAATGCTAATTAGCCTATTGTGGTAGAATTATTGATTCTTTTCTATTGAGCAAAATCTGTTATAAGATTAAAAAAAAAAAAGAAAGAAAAAGGAAGACTATAATCTGAATTTCTTCCAATTGCTAACAGCTCAGAATATAAGGCAGAATTGACTGATTTTTTTAAATCCACGTACAGAATTCTAAGAAAATAAGTATCAAGATAACATGGAAATGCATGTATGTCACCAGTATAAAGTAAGACACATATATAGCACATATGTTTAAATTAGTACAGTAGATGTTATGGTAGGATTAACTGACAAAGTACATGGCTAAAGATATTTATTAGAAAGTCAAATTTAAAATGTTAATGACCAAAAGATCCTTTTCTACTTCAAGGTGTTTGCATATTGTGAAGATAAATTTGATTAATCTAATTGCCACTATCTAATTTCTCAAATATTATTAGAATTGATTTGTTTGATATAAAATATAAGCCATTTGGCAATTTTACTTCTGTTACCAATGATATTAGGGATAAGAACTTGAGTTTATGAAAATAAGAAAACAGAACTCCCTAGCAAAGGACTCAGCATTTAAAAGAAAATAAAATCAGATGTTGTAAAGAGCTTGGTCTTCTGTGGTTAAATCACACAATATGTTTATGTTAGAACCAAGTATGTTTCTGGAACACTTCCTTCTGCTTATACTAGAAATTAGAAACTGTGTCTTCAGGTGGAGAAAGTCTTTTTTTTTTTTTCTAATTTATTTTTATTCTTGCAGTATCAGGTAGAGAAGTTCTTAAAACACTGTGGTAATTAAGACTTTCATTTCAAAACTACATTTTCTAAGGTCTTTGGGTTTTTCTAAGGGGTTGCTCAAGTGGTTATGGAAGAGAGAACTATCAAAGGTCATAGCTATAATAACTTCAGTAAATATTTATCAATCACAAATACATGCAATAACTATGACAGTTATTTTGTGCTTTCATCCATGTGTTACTAATAAATGCATACCTTATAGCTTAGAGGAAATACTAGTTATTAGGGAAATTCTACTGATTAGGTCTGTAGCTATTCCCTCAAAGCAGGTACTTACATTGATTCGCACAGTCAAGTGGCACATAGGTGGATATATGCTGAGAGCCAAATCATCCACACTAAGAGCAGAAAGCAAAAATAATCATTAATTAAAAAGGAAACAAAACAGTTGGGTGGTTTCCAGTATACAACTAAGGATGTGACAAGTGAGAAAACTGTCTCAGAAATGCCTTAAATTGGGCAACTAGACAGCCAACACAGAATCCATTTACCAAGTACTTACTGAACACATACATGTCCTAATTCATTAGGAAGCTGGGGGCATAGGGACTCTCTTGGTTGTAGGAATAGGACATGATTCAGTTAAAAATTCAAGGCTCTGAAACCATAACTGATAGAAATAAGGTTCATCACAGGAAGCGAAAATCATTGGGAAAAAAGTACTTTCACCTCTCCTCTAGTGGTCACTACCTTAACCAAATGATCAAATTTAGTATCAACAAAATTGAGGCAAACTGACATCCTCAGTGTGATGCAATGAGAAGCACAAAACTTTCAGCTATGTGATATTTTGGCAAAAAAAAAAAAATTAACCTAAACAATCACATGAATCTAGATTGTTGGATTCTCTGTAAGACAACCTGACCTTGATAATGTCAAGAAAGACTAAAAAGGACAGGGAGATTGTTCTGGATTTACAAGAGACTAAAGAAATGACAACCAAATGCAATGTGAGACCTTGACTACATCTTGGATTAAAAAAAAAAAGAAAGGCTACATAAGACATTTTAGAGATGACTAGAAAAATATGAATAGTAGATTGTTGTTGTTGTTGTT